GGTCCTGTTAGCAGTGTGGTCCTGTTAGCAGTGTGGTCTTGTTAGCAGTGACTTTAAGGTTTAGTATCATCAAAACCTTCAAGCTTCAAACAGATGGAAATAAAAGCTGTGACTTGAGTATCTTTGCAAATTCACAGGACTTTTTGAAGCATTTTGATGCCAATTTTTTTTTTCCTCTGTGATTTTCAGCAGTGAGAGACATGAGCATGAGGCTACTGTGGAAGTCTGTGGACAAGATGAGGTGCTTCAGGAAACGGTCCATGCTCCCAGTCCTCGTCTTCCTGGTCTCCTCTCTGCTCTTTTTTAACCTTTACATGGATGATGGATATGTGGTGGTAAGTTTGGAGCTTTAAAATCTCTAGGAAGCCTTTACTGATTTTGTTGGCCCATTTGCTGAATTATGTTTTTCCCATTTTTTGTTTTGTTTCTATTAAGGAGGCTGAAAAAAGACAGCTGGGAGAAACACTGGTGCATCCTTCAAACTCTGAGAGATATGTGCACACATTTAGAGACGTGTCCAATTTCTCTGGGACTATCAATGTGACATATCGCTACCTCGCTGGAATTCCTTTGCCACGCAAAAGTAGGTATATCCAGACAGTTTTAAATTTTACAACAAAATTATTATAATTGTTTAAAGAAGAATTTAGTAAAATGACCTATATTCACAGAGTTTCTCACTATTGGATTGGCGTCTGTCAAGAGGAAAAGAGGGAACTACCTCCTGGAGACAATCAAGTCCATCTTTGATCAGTCCAGTTATGAAGAACTGAAGGAGATCGTGGTTGTGGTTCATCTGGCAGACTTTGACCTGGTCTGGTGTGAGAACCTGGTGCAGGAAATCACCAGGAAGTTTGCTCACCACATCATAGCCGGACGCCTCCTGGTCATCCAGGCCCCAGAGGAGTACTACCCTTCTCTGGACGGGCTGAAAAGGAACTACAATGACCCAGAAGACCGGGTCCGGTTCCGCTCCAAGCAGAATGTGGACTACGCCTTCCTCCTCAACTTCTGCACCAACCTGTCACACTTCTACATGATGCTGGAGGACGACGTGCTGTGCTCCAGGAACTTCCTGACAGCGCTGAAAAAGGTGATCACCTCCAGAGAAGGTTCCTACTGGGTGATGCTGGAGTTCTCCAAACTGGGCTACATCGGGAAGCTATACCACTCCAAAGACCTGCCCCGGTTGGCTCATTTCCTCCTCATGTTCTACCAGGAAATGCCTTGTGACTGGCTCCTCATCCACTTCAGGGGTCTGCTGGCTCAGAAGGACGTGATTCGCTTCAAACCCTCACTGTTCCAGCACATGGGCTACTACTCCTCCTATAAAGGGGTGGAGAACAAACTGAAGGACGACGATTTTGAGGAAGACTCCATTGACATTCCCGACAACCCCCCTGCCAACATTTATACAAACATCAACGTCTTTGAAAACTACGATGCCTCCAAGGCTTACAGTAGCATCGTTGACGAATATTTCTGGGGGAAACCTCCGTGCACCGGAGATTTCTTTATAATTGTCTTCAACAGATCGACTAAGATCAGCAGAATCAAAATAGTGACGGGCACAGAGGATCGACAAAGTGACATTCTTCACCACGGCGCTCTGGAAGTAGGCCAGAAGTCTGTTGAGACTAAACAGGGAAGTCAGTGTACATCCTACATCACTTTAGGGGAGTTTAAAAGTGGGAACATTGAAGTTACCAACGTGGACCACAAAATCATCTTTGACATCGAGTGTGTGAGAATAGTTGTCACAGCCAGTCAGCAGGAATGGCTCATCATAAGAACTATTAGCCTTTGGACCACACAACCTGTTAGCTAATTATAAAAACTATAGACGTCAAGTTTTTAGTTAATTTCTGTACGCCTTGATTTGATGCAGAAAGTTATTTTTGAATTTCTCCTGTTTAGTGAACTCAAATCAGTCCATTTTTTTCCTGGGTGGATCAGAGAGCTGCTGTAAGTTTTTACTGTGATGTATTTTCAAAAATACACAAATGTGTACATGGAGCCTTTATACTCATGTTGATTTTCTGAGAATCTCTTTAAAAAATGTTCAACAATTGCTGCTATTGTCTTTTTTTTTATATCACGTAAAAGGTACTCAACACACCACATGCTTTAAACATGTCATTATAACACGTCTGAAAAGAGAGCAGTTTTTAAACTCAGATTTGACCATTTTTTGCTGCAGACTTTCTAAATGAAGAACAGGGACTTAAATGGAAAAACGTAAGACGGTTTGACAAATTAAACAATTCATATTTAATTATTTGCCTCATGTGTTTAGTTTAAAACATTTCAAGTAACTGAGATCAGGTTGAGTGTTGATTTGAAAAGCTGTTTTCTACATTTGATATTAAAGACAGTCAAAATCACAAAACATCAAGTAAAGCTTTATTGGCTCATTTGAGTGAAGTTGTTTTTGTGGGTACATGGGCTGCTGCTCAGGGCTTAATTTGTATATTGATGGATGCTGGAACGTAAATAGTGGGCGGACCGTGGGTGGGGTGTCTGGGGTTCCTCCCCCAGAAAATTTTGAATAAAGTAGATGTGATTTCCTACATTTTGGCTTAGTTTAATGGGTTAAATCTATGTTTACTTATATTTGTAAACACTCCGCTTCCGTCAAGCTTCCTACACCCCCACCTTACTTGATGGTTCCGAGCCTGACAGTGAGCTCCTGCCCACATACAACTGCCTGGTTTGCTCGGCCCTCACCCCCACCACTCTTTTAGGGGTGGAGATTTGTTTCAGGGTAGAAGCAGAAATGTTACTTGAAGGGGCAACATGTATGCTCTTGACTGTTGTGTTTAAAACGAGTGTTTATGCAATAATTTTCAGTTTACATATCCAAAATAAGTTTTATTCGTTCAAGTCAGTCATATTTGTTCATAACTTTATTATTAGTAAGCCTGAGAGTTACTGGATCCAAGCTAACAGTTACCGGAACACACCCTGTCAAAATAAGAGAGTTCCCGGATTCTGTTCTGGCAGGATCCGGCTCAGATTAGGCCCTGCTGCTGATGATGTAAAGTTGTCAGAGCAAAAAGCAGGTAACATTAAAAAAAAAACTGTCATTTAGTCTTCAATCTAATAAATGTAACATTGTTTTATTATATTTTTATTATATCATATTATTTTATTATTGTTGATGCTACAAGCCTAACTTAAAAACTAGGTGCTAAAAAATTTCACACAGTAAAGCTTTTCTCTCTCTGTGATGTCATTTCTTCTCACAACAGTTTTAAGATGCTTTGGCAATGAAGAGATGAAGCATTTCAGAAAGTTTGTGGTCCATTTTTTTTTTCAGCAAAAATGTCTTAAGATTTACAACAGTAAAGTAATCATTGGCGTAGTTTTCATTACAAAATCCTCTACTGGAGAGAATCCAGGAGTTCAGGTAAAAACGCCTGATTCTTCTTTTGCAGCAATGACTTTTCAATATGTATTTTTATTATCGCCTGCTGATGAAAGGAAAAGGAAAGCGATAATACTTTTGATTGTGTTTGGGTATGCATGGGTTTGTTTCTCTGCACCAGTTTGTTTCATGCTTGACTAGACAAATTTGAACAGATTTCTTGGAATGTAATCACTGGGTGTACATCAATAACATTTAGATAGTTCATTCAAGATGGCCACCACAGCTAAATAACCATAATAAAACACAAATGGATAAAAAAAACTCTGTCAGTTTTACCAATACTGAGCTCAAATCTGGCATGGGAGTAGATGAAACTGATCCCCAACTCATACTCTAAATACTAATTTATCAAGCAAGGCCTGTTTTTAAAACTTTGCTATTAACTATTGGCGTCAACTCTGTTTATTTATCTGCATCTGCAACCGATTAGTATTTGGAGTCAGCACAAATCAAGATGGCTGCCACAACTAATCTACTTTTACCAACACAAAAAAGGCTAGAACATACTCAAAATTACAAATACTGAGGTAAAGTTCATGTGAAAGTCACTGACAGTCATCTTAAACACATATTCCAAGCTTTTAGACAACTTGCAGGATGTGGCTGTGGCGGCATCGTGAAATAAAACTTTAACATGAAGGGTGGTGGGCGACACGCATTACTTCAAGGAATGCAAGGCCTTTTAAGTACTTTCTGGTGCAAGGGTCAATTGGTTGAAGTGACTCGAAATTATATTCTCAAAATATCAAAACTAAATACTGTATGGATATTCAGGCATACTTAATTTTTGGAAATGCAGTATTTAGAACAAAGCTACAAAGTTTTTATATGTCTACTGTCAGGTTCTGTTCTCTCAAAATTTAAACTTGTAACTGTGCTGTCCCCTACTGGTCTATTAAAGAAAACAAAAAAGGGTACTCAGAATAGAATAGAATAGAATAGAATAGAATAGAATAGAATAGAATAAAATAGAATAGAATAGTGCTGTAGCCCAGACTGGACAATAAAATTGTCATAAAATGTTTTATAATGTGGGCATATGACACGTTAAAAGCAGAAAGTAAATGGAAAAAAACATGTACAAAGTCTCCATGACCTGATTAAGGAGGAGTGGTAGAAGATGGATGGATGGATGGATGGATGGATGGATGGATGGATAGATCAGATGTCATATAAGGTAAGTTATTAAGCAATAATTGAATCTTTATTTTGCAGTAACAGTTTATTACAAGCATGGACTGCTTAGTCAGAGCCAGAAAAACAGTGCCAGCTGGAGAAAATGACACTGATGATCCTGTTGCAGTGTAAAGTCCTGTTGGGGAACATTGGTTTGTGTTAGGTTGACATCATGTTTCGTCTATAGAAACATCACTGAAGACAACAAAACCAAGACTTTAGACTCTTCAAAGCCAGTTTGGATGAAAACTGACTTCTAGTGTGACCTGAGAGTGTTGCATGTCTTATCTGTGCTGCACTCTCTTGATTCCCACCTCAGGTCCTTTGCTTGCCTGTAAGTAACAGATTGTTTGGCCAATGATCAAGTCAATATATAAAAAGCAAATCAAAGTGAGGGAAAAAAACAAAAAAACAACAACACATGCTCCACGACAAAAGTTCATCCATATTTCTTTAACCCTCTTGCTGCCGTGGGTCAAAATGACCACAGAGACCTTAGTTTGGGGCCATTTTTACTCTAGGGCAGCAGGAGGTTTTTTTTTCCTGTGGTAACTTATGTGCACCCAGACTGTTTGATTATTCTCAGTCTCCCACACTTTCTATCCTTGTTTCCTTTTCTACATCCTATTTTTATTTTCGGCTATTGACACTCCAGCAATCTCATGTGATTATATCAATCCTTTTGTCCAAAATAACAATGAAGGGCGAACTGCTGCCCTCGACAAATATTATTATAAAAACATTACCTTAAAAAATACTTTAAAAACAGACAACAATCTGTCATTCAGCATATTCAGCCTATAGTACAAAACACTGTTTCACATACAGTATAGCCCTTTGTCTGCATTTCTGTTCAAATAACATTATTTTTGTTTGATTGACCCTAAAATAAACACAAAAAAGGAAAAAATTGATTATTGCACGATACAAATCCAAAAAAGCTGCGTAAAATACAACAGATTAAAAAGTAGGTATTGTTGTGATTTTCTTATTTCTCCACCCGAGTTCTGTAGTAACCGCT